ATAATGAGTGACCTAGTTATTTGATATGACGTTGTCAGGTCTCTATCTCTCCTACCTGCAGTCTGTTCTGCTTCATTTGAAAGTGTGTCGTAGAAGTGTCTTTTGTCTTTGTGCACACTCTTCTTCACTCCTCTGTCCAGTATTGTGTTCAGTTCCTCTTTTCCTTCTTCATCCTTGCACAGGTTTATCTTATGCTTCACAATCTTCCTCTCCCTTCTCTACCAGCTTTCATATGTCCGTCGAGATCCATTCCTTGTCTCGTCTGGTCTTGTCTTGTCTCTTCTTCCTTCCTAACACCGTTATGCAGGTCCCCTTCATCGTCTCTTTCAAAGACTTCCAGTGTTTCTTCCACACAGGTTTCCTCGGGGATGTTGCCTAATGTCTCCCATTTTTTCCTAATGACTTGCTGACGTGAAGATGTCCTTTTAGTTTCGTTATTCAGTTCAGTTTCTTTTCTGGGTGTTGAACTTGAACTGTGGTCTATCACCAGCTTCGTTTACGAAGGCTTTCAACTTGGTTTTGAAGGTAGGTTCCCGTACTAGATAATGAGTGGTGTGAACTACCTACATCTGCTCCCCTTCTTGATACTGTGTCCACTTTCTTCAGGTTGGGATGAAGTCGATCTGGTTTTTAGTGTGTCTTGGTGAAATCTGTGTCGGTTTTTGAATATCCTTGTGTTTGTACACACTGCCTCCAATCACTAAATCGTTGAATGCGCAGAAATCTGCAAGCGATTCTCCATCCTCATGCATCATTTCACCGAGTGCCTCTCGACCCATGATAAGTTCTCTTCCTGTGTTGTCTGCTTCCAGTTTAGGACTCATGTCACCCATTAGAAATTTGATGTCGCTATCTGGGTTAGGGTCTTGTCCATTACTGATTACAGTTGTCTGTAGAATTACCCCTTCTTCTCTTCATCTGCATTATTTGTAGGTGCGTAGCATTGTATGATTGTTACTTTCCTTCCTTTTGAGTTGAACCTTGCTGTCATGATCCTGAAGGAGGAGATTGGCTTCCACTACATGAGAGTCTTCGAAACTCTTGGGGACATCATGATAGCCACTCCGAAACTCAGTGTACTCGTGGTTGTCTTCTGGGTGACAATATCGGAGTAGATTATTGACTCGTCAGTTGACAGTCTGGAGAATCCACTTCCATTCAGTCTACTTTTGCAGATTCCTAGCACTTCAATGTGATACCTTCTCATCTGTTTTACAATTTAGGCAGCCTTGCCAGCCAGCCAGCTGCAAACATTGTTCGGACATTCCATGTCCCCATTCTTACTTTCGCTTTCATCGAGGGAAGAGAAGACATATCGGCCAGTTGGCTTCCGAAGGCTTTCACCAACCGGCGTGATTTCGCCTCCCGATTCCAGCAAGGAATCAGTTTGCTTTTGTATTTTTTTGTGCTTTGAAGTTTCTTAAGCGTTTGGATTGGTTTTACGGGGTAAGGTTGCTAGCCCTATGCCCAAACTTCCGTCTTTATTCGGGCTTAGGACAGGCTAGTAAACTGGTGAGCCAGTATATATATATATATATATATATATATATATATATATATATATATATATGTATATATATATAACAGGACAGCGACATACTCGCCCTTTAACCGCTAGTCAGATATCCACTCGGTCAGCGCCACACATGACACAAATTGGAGAGTGACAAACGAGCCTCCTCTATCCCAATTGAGATTGTGTCAACAAACAGCACTTTCGGGCTGACGCAAATCTCGAAGCAAGGCAATCAGTCGATGCATTACACCACTTCACTCCCTGTCCTCAAACTGCAAGTAGTTGCAGACCAGTCATGTAGCACCATCTAACACTCGTAAGACGCAAAGCACATAACATAATAATAATGGCTTTATTCTGAAAGCTATTTCGGGAATACTGTACAGAACTTTCAGCACGTCATATAGCATCAGTTGGGAAGAGACAGTGTATATGTATACATAGCAAATGAAATCAGTAGATATTACAGGAAGAAAAGATAAAAATATTTGCTCTATCTACAACTTCCTTCAAAATGCACAACCAATTTATGTAGAAAATCAGATTGACATTTAGATTCATAATACGCAAAAGGCAACATGCTCATCTTCATTTAGTTTGCTTTCAAAAACAGAAGTTTACCAGTTAGTTCATTTCTAATACTTTCTTCATCACACAGCAGATGAGCTAAATACGGTATTGTAGAGTTTTATATTTTGGTCATCTGATAAAATAACTCCCGCCAGATGTTTACATGAGTTAATATGTTCGTCCAGAACAGTTTTAACTAGGGGGTTAAGGACTACACCACTAGTTCTACTGACAATCTTCAAGCTCTACGCAATATAGTGTAATGTTTTTTCAACAACCCAGGAAAAAATAAAGGGGAGCAATAGAGGAGGACAGGCAGGATGCAGAAGTTTATAAAACATAAGGGGAGAGGCTGAGTAATACCAGATACTTCCAACTTCCTAATATAGAAAGTTGGGCAGAAAATTCTTCTGAAAATTAGTGAGATGTGAGAAGACCGGGAAAGATCCGAAGAAAAACACACCAAGACAAATCACATTTGTAACATTCTCTAATGCGCAACTATCAATAGAACAGGAATCATGAGAACTAAGCAGTTTACATAAGTTATGTTCACATCTAAAATTAAAGTTTATGGTCTGACACGCTGAAGTATTTAGCATAAGACCATTCTAGGAGGACCATCGTCTTACAGTAAATCTACCGTTAGACAATGGTCCTCCGAGCTTGAAGCCTGTTACACATATCCTTTTTAAGATTGTTGATGTAAGATTTAGTTATTTTAACTGAAGATAGGAAAACCCCAAGCAGACACTCATTGGTAAAAGCACTTGTCCGTCAACTGACGGGTTCAAAACTCACCATCTACCGAGGTTTGGGCAGCCAACTAGTATCAAAAGCGTTCACACAATAGGTGTGGCTTATTGCCTATCACATGAATGTGCACAAAGCTGCTGGGTGTATTTCGATTTTATTTTCGAACCTTACTGCACAACATGCATATGATTGCTAGGTGCATTTAATAAATTTTAAAGTGATACCTCCGGCACCAGAAAACCGCAGGAAAGAGACAATGTGTTTTTTTGGTGGTCAACCTTCTCTAACGCCTCTTCCTGTAGGGAAGGCAACACCAACACAGTACTGCTGGTTATCGTGTAAAGCGCCTTACTACTATCCAAACAGCAGTAGGAGCTCGCTCTCAGAACTATATCGTAGCGTAGAAATTCACACTATAACGGTAACTGCTTTTCATGTCATCACTATCCAACAAACCTTTTTCGCGTGGTAGGACCTCAAGGAAGAAACGTTTCAGTCACTTTAGCTAACTGAGTCATTGTGATACGCAAGCTCGACCACCATGCCAAGGTTGCAGCTACCGATCGATAACTGCAGGTTTGATGTTGGTTTTGTTCGTCTGTCTTGCCTGCAACGAATTAACGGATTCTTATAGACGTGCACAGGGGAAATGATCATGCTACTCCCTGCTCTATGAATAATATGCTTCCCCACTCGAATAATGAAAAAGCGTTATCTGATTAAAATGTAATCAGGGAACGAAAAAATGCAAATGAAATCTACTTTTATGATGGCGTGATCACATGACCATAATATGAATGACGTCTACACATCCTTGAGGGACATATGTTATTAGTCACAGTTTAGCGAACACGACATCAGCACCATTTAGTTATCAAATAAAGCATTTCACTTTGAAGTTCGTTTATGTTACAAGTTTACGTCAGTCAAAAAGCCATTTAGTAAGAACCCAATCACATTACTCACAACTTTGTCAGAACACGATCCAAGACACTGAACAATGTATTCAACCTTAACCTCATTATTCTGTCAACTATCTAGAAATTTAATGAATATAGGCTTATTTTCTAGATTAGTTGAATGGATTCATTTCTCTGATATTTCCTCATCATTAATATATATTCCACTAACACCAACCTGTGATAAATGGTAATCACTATTTCAATGATTTGGAAAGTTAATTTCACGTCCATGAAAAAATCTTAATCAGATAACCGGAATGAACTATACTCGACGAGTTGCAAACTGGCCACCGTTCCAAAGTGAAAATGAAATAAACTGAACAACTAAAATTTACTTATTAGCATTTCACGTGGGTTACAGAACAAGATTGTGGTCGAGGTTGGAAAGAAAATAAGAAATAAATACAATTCTGAGTGAAGATAACACACAAAAGTTGAGAATTGCATGTACGTGCAGACTGTGAGCATGCATATATATATATATATATATATATATATATTATATATATATATATATATATATATATATATCACTAATGCATAGATATAATTTGTTTAAAAGACTTAGAAAAAATAAAATGTAGTAAATGATGATGTCGATCATTTTGTTTTCTTGATCTAGTGTGAGCAGATTGGTTTGGGATAAGAAAGTTAGTTGATGATCGTCAGAAGAAAAAGTAGTTGTACATGTGCGTGTAAGCACGTGTTTAGATTAATTCTACAATTTATGTGCAGCAACCACAGACGCAAATTAGTTACGAAAATGCGAGCACAAAAAGCAGATATACAAACATAAGATTGGAGCTGTACATGGCAAGGATAAGAAGATTAAAAAAGGTTATTCGCATAAGTGTTTCACAGAATGTTGTTATCGCTTTAAGTGAAAGTGATGATAACGTTATTAAGAGTAATACATAATAATAACAGTAATAATAGTAAAAACAGTTGATCAACTACAAACGTTTTATAATTAAGAGGTAAGAATATGATAAAGGGAGTTGGAAAGCCGATAGGATTGAGGAATGTGAGAGAACAGGATAACTGTAAATATGCATATGGAAAAGAGTAACAAAGCGATAATAAGAAAGGCTGATAAACATACTGATGATTTGAATTGCTTCAATGGAGTTTGAGTAAATTAAAGGCAGAAAACTATACATAGGTAAGAACAAAGTGCGTGTGACTGAGTGAAAATATCAACAAATGTCAGATTGCTCCCAGAATCCCTTATCGTAACCTTCATGTACATGATCTAGTAGGACATTTCGACGACTTTCACAATATCTGGCTTTATCCTGCATTTTCTGTTTCAATTCATTCAAATTAATATTGGAAAGATCTCGATCTAAGTATTCTGACAATTGTTCCGTCGACTGTTCCAAATCACTTTGATTACTTTCAAATATAATGAATGATTGTTCTTTTTCAAGAAATAAGCAAAAGCATATGTATACATTAATGTCCGTCGACAACGACAAAGAATTTCAACTAGTTTTCTAAAAAACTTGACATCTATCCAAGAAGTTCCATGTGCCTGCATCGATTCCATTTTACCTTGTACTGTTTCATAAAGACGAGCCTCAAACCTCAACGACTGCATATGATTTAAGTAACGATTTGAGTAAAAGAGATAACGGTCAAGTAATACCTAGAACTAGCCTGAGCTTCTCTGGCCTGTTTAGCAGCGGAATCATCATAACGATTACATGTGTACCACCGTGAAACCGTGTGGTTCCCAGCGATCTAAACACATCCAACAAAACTCATGTTTGCAATCTACGTTTCGACAGGTCATATGATTGCATCCACCATTTTTTTCTATAGTAGCATGACATTTTGGACACTCCTTTGTGTTAGCTGCAATCCAACCAAGTGTACCACTATCATTTTCAAGTTTTTTAATCCATGTTTTTAACTGTTCACAACGAACTGGATCATGCCACGGTTGACCACAGGCAAAACAAAAACACTCAGCACAGTTTGTACATGTGATCTGATTTGGTTCACGTGGACCAAAACAACGAACAGCATGTCCACAGTTAACACCAGGGCACCAAGTTAGTGCACGGTTATGACAAACAAAGCTATTACATATCAGTTTCTGAAAATGCTTGCGTACATTTTGATCGGTAATCATTTGAAACACAACCTCGTCTTCAACAAGTACTCGACAACTTGTTGAAGGGCAATAAATTCGATCAATTTGACTTTCTTCCATTATCTTTATTTTCAGATATCGCTGCCAACAATTCATACAAAAGTAATGAGCACAGGATAATCCATACATTTGACCTACATATCAGAGGGGAATAAAAGCGAAAGGATAAGATGAAATTTCTTTCAAAGATCAGATGATAATAATGTCAATGAATCAAGCAATCTCATGAGGCCTTAAATCAGCGATCACAGATAATACTGAGGATTTTTTATATGATCTAGACTAAGATGAAAACTTATATTCTATAAATGATATCAGCAGGAAAGGTCCAAAATAACTTTTCTGTAAAGTACTTTTATAAACCTGTACATACACAAAAACTATCAAGAATTCCTAATCATTGTCTTCATATGACGATACTGTTTTGACACGTATACGACAATGAAAGCTAGGAAATAGAGAATGAATACATTGGGTCGATAGTAAACGTTTACTTAGGGAGTTTAAGAAAACTCGATTCTAAAAGAATGGTGCAAATCTAGTCTAGAAAAGAGTGGCGTATGACTTTATTTTAATCGCTACAGGAGTGCAAATGCTGAAGCTAGACATTATGAACTAGATATCAAATCAATAAACTCAAGAGATGGCCCATAAAGATAACTCTATTCTTAATTCAAGACATGGCAACCATAAAAATAACCGCAAATTAGTTTTAAACAAAGATTCCATAATATCCTTATGAATACTTTTGCTGATAATCAAATCTAGTCCACCACAAGAATATACCTACTTTATTTTTGATTTAGACTATCACTCCTGACAGCTTCACTTTGCATCACATTTGGTGACTGAACAGTTAGTAAGAACCATTCAGAACAACTACCTGTAGCCATGAGTAGAACACCTACATAAAACATTCGACTGACCGACAGTTAACCATTAATTATCAAATATCTATCTACAAGCTGAATGGGATGGAAGTGTAGGCACTATAACACTTACCAACCTTGGGGAGACTTTCAAATCCCTTACGAATAAGCTATAGAAATTGATGTCCTGAGCTCAGAGGACCTTAAAACTGTTGGTCAGGATCCATTGATTAGAGGAACTGAGATGCTGATAAGTATACAGGAATAGGAGTCCCTTTCACTAGAATAGCGTTCAATCTTCATCAAATTAATGTATTCAAATAGAGGGAGAAATCATTCTGCAAGAACAAACAAATTATTTCAGATAACAGTGTCGAAGATCCTAGCGTCCATAATATCTCAATGTCTAACTATACTTTTAGAAAAACAAGCTGGAGAGATTCAGACGGATTTTATTCTTCAGCAGGAAACACTGCTAATTTTCCATCTTTTGACAAATTCTAGGACATACATATACCCACTGGCGTCCATGTGACAATGCTCAACTAACTGTGAAGGGAGTATTATGAAGGTATGTCAAGTTAATCTAACTCATTCAACTATGTCACGACTTACAAAATATTGATATTTCATGCAACTATAACCAGCTGTGTCTCCCAGAATATCCACTTCCCCACTCATAAATGCTGTGATGCATATAAGCCAAATAATTGGCTTCTCGATAACCGGTTCGTAACCAGGAGGAACTTTGATAAACTTAGACGACATATTCCAGTCAAGTAAATACACTGACAAAACTGCAACGTTCTTCAGATGCATTGGGCGCCGATTTAGGGTCTCCTCAAAACCAGCTCTACACTTATTAGATGAAACTTTAGGACTGGTCAACAGCAACTCTAAGGGATGAAAATGGATTAGTGGAATGAGTCTTTTCATATCTTCTACTTCAACAGGTTGTCTCACAGTCACATAAAAGGACAGCGACATACTCGCCCTTTAACCGCTAGTCAGATATCCACTCGGTCAGCGCCACACATGACACAAATTGGAGAGTGACAAACGAGCCTCCTCTATCCCAATTGAGATTGTGTCAACAAACAGCACTTTCGGGCTGACGCAAATCTCGAAGCAAGGCAATCAGTCGATGCATTACACCACTTCACTCCCTGTCCTCAACTGCAAGTAGTTGCAGACCAGTCATGTAGCACCATCTAACACTCGTAAGACGCAAAGTGCACGAGAAACATAATCAGAGTTCAGCTCAACACGTTTTGAAAACCATACATTTTGTAGGTGACTCCACTTAACAGGAAAATATTGCTTGTGTAATCACAGTCAATCAGATACCCTCTGCGCATAGGTCAGTCGCTGTTAAGTCAGACATAACTAAAATGCATCCCATCAATACATCTCTGACGGACACCAATGGATGTCGTCATTTCAGATGAAAACTCCCCGTAAGCTCTTACACGGCAACCTGAGTTCCAATAAAGTTTGATAAGCTCCGTACTCCTTTCACTGTCAAACACTGCAACAATATTTCTCGGTCGACAGAGTCGAGTTCCGCCTACAGGTTAGGCAATGCGGCGAGTGTCTGACACTTGTAGGTATGCGTCTGTGATCGACAACCTGCTGAACGTTAAAGATTTCACCGATGCACCCTCATTCTGGTTTGAAACTTGCCTGGATTTCTCAAGTTCGTCTTCTTCGAACTCCAGTTGGGCGTCGGATACCTATAGGCACAAGCACCTTGGACACAATGTTAGTTAAACTGATTCTCAGATGGTTGTCACAGGAAGATTTCTCTCCTTTCCTATCGACTGCAATGAGCAGTGAAGTAGAATAGTCTGACAGAACTACCTCTGATTCCCTTGTACTACCCAGTACTTCTGACACTTTAATTGGAAATTGCCTACCTCCATCCTTTAAAATATTAGGCGACGAACCATCAGGTCCTGCTATTTTATATCATTTCAGGCTCGACATAGCCTTCTCATCTTCGAAGGCCTATTCGCCTTCGGAAAAGATGCTGGGCAACTGAAGTAATCCTCTCAGCTCTGTGCACCGGGCTCTCCAGTGTTCCACGTAATGTTCTAACCACCTGTCTTCAAAGGTCATCAGTTTCCCATCCTTTCCGGTGGTTGTTTCACTAACCATCAGTAGCTCCTTGCAAATATCAATAATGAGCGTAGTTAGTCGCCAGGTATTTCAAAACCCTATTGATGTTTCCATCTCTCTCGCTTACCAACCCGCTACTGCTTACAATCGTTACAAAGACTCTCCCATCATTTACATGTGTTGCTGTTGCTTTTCATTGCTGTAAGAGCCAGCTAAAATCAACCTTTTCGTATCAATCGATTGGTATGTGGTTGTGGAAATTCATTGACACCTGCTTAACTTTGGATATAGGTCATCAATCGTCTCTGCAGCACACTGAATATCACATAAGGTTTCTTCAGGATGACCACTGCTGTCACGCTCATTATCTCCTCCGTAAATACCTACTTACTCTTCTCATCTTCCAATCGAGCACATAGGGTAAACTCTGGCCTGTTTTCTGCAACCAGTAAGGCATAGATATACACATAAAGCATAATCACAGTCTAAACAGGTACTCCAGAAACAGCGACAATCCTTCAACCACTCACACCAATGATGGCTTACGGTAAGCAACATAATCTGTGTCCATCGTTGGTTTTATGTTGACGGACGTCATGAGACACACTCGTTGTGCTGGCCACAAACAAGTGATTGTCAGAATTAAGTAATAGCAGACAATAACCGTTGTCAATTCGTCGGCACACATCTTGTCGATTGCCTCAGCTTCCTTACGTGAACGTTGAAAACGCCTGCTATTATGACCACGTCTGAACATTTTCCTTTGCTTTCTGTAACAAAACTGATAGCTTCTTATAAAACTCATACTCTGAATCATCCGAACTGCAGTCGGTAAATAAGTATGCGTAGATTACGGATAGACACTAGGTAGTCTCATGATTCTTTCTAATTTTTTTTACAGATCCATTCAGTCATACAGCACACATATGGCTGTTGACTAGTATCCAGTCAAGGAGTTTACTTTATGATCCAGAACCTAATGGTAGGTCTACACCGGCAAATGCACGAGTGTTAGCCTCTCAATATCAAAACGTTGATAAAGTGAATTCTGAACACACCCCATTGGTTAAGTGAAGTTACAGTAATATCCATACTCGGGTTCTGTACACGTGTTTCACAAACAATATTTATCCATGGATCGAGATTTTAGAGTTCTTGCGAGGGGTGCCTGCTGTCCACTTTGGCATAGGGTTCAGACGTCCAAAGCTCCAATGTGAAACGAACGGTAGGATCTTAGAAGGCTACGAGTGAGGTTTCAATGGCTTGGATCGTTGGAAATGGTTGTAGAGTGAGCGGTTTAGGAAGTTGCCAGAGGTTTATTATTGGTATTATGAGAAGGCAAAGGAGGACAGGTTACGTTTGATTGGATTTTGTATACTAATGCAGGTATGTGGACGGTTGACATTTCGACTGCTCATATCATGAGAGCTGTTTCTACAGGGTACTTGAAACAGAAGATTTGTGACAGCAGAAGCCATAGGGCATATGCTCAAGGCAGGATATCCTTGTTTGTTTCACGGATTTGAAAATGGGAGTAGTTTGCACGGATAGGTTGCCAGGGCAATCATAGGTTGTACAATAATATATATAATTAAAAATCCATCACAGGAACAAAACAAGATCAATATTTCTGAACACATAAGATATTGAATTTAGTAGACCCATCACACAAATAATAATGACGACCTGAGGATCTCGTGCAGCCTAGTCAGTTGGCACTTACACACTTGACATGGTTACAATGTTTTAAAGGAACTCTACAAAAGTACTACTCAAAACCTGATTCGTACAACTTACGTCAGTGTTATATCATGATTACAGACGAAAACAAAATTCGGGCCACTGTACTAGTCGGGTCTTTTATAATAAGATACACTAAATGCATGTTTTAAATCCAGAAAGTGTCTCTTTTCACAAAGCGCTAACTGGGTATATTTTTGTTACTAGTTACACATAAAATGCGCTTTGACTTCCAGTTGTTTTCCAGGTGATAACAACTAATATGGAGGCCATCTTTAGACAAATAACAAAAGTACCGATTGAATACATTAGAAAAATAAATCATCATTTGTGTACAGTCAGACAGCTTTTTGTCTTACAAATACAATTCATGAGTAATTCTGTACCTAAGTTTTTTCAACATAATC